TGTTGGCACTCTGTTTGATTCCCCTTCTGGGAACCTAAGCTCTGCTGTTCTCCAATCCACCTGTGGATTCCATTTGGCTAGCCACGCCATGCCCAGGATTGTGGGGCACTCGATACCCGGGGTCACTACGAACGTTATAGTCTCTATGTGATCCCCCAGGGTGAGTTGGAGTGGCAACGTTGCTAAGGTGGCCAGCGTCCCCCTGCTATGGACCCATCTAATTAACTGAAAGAAGTTGGTTTCTTCAGCCTCCTCACCGGTATGCCTAGATTCCCCACTACTGTTGGGCTGATAAGGTACCGGGTACACCCAGAGTCAATTGGTGCCCTGACTTCTGCAGCTTTGGCATGGTGGGGGCTAATATGGTTACTGTCATGGTGAGGGGCGCGATGGGTCCACTTACCAGGGGTTCATCTTTGGAGTTGTCATCAGATGAATTGGACGCTTCTGCTGTGTAGGCCGGAGTTCCCTTTCCTCGCTGGGCGGTCGTGGGAAACTCAACGGCCTCTGTGCCTTTCATGGCTGTCTCTTTCGATTTGGCGGGTGATTTCCCAGACTTCCCAGCCGGGGTCCGGTCTGCCTTCTTGGTTGGGGTGCGCAAACGGCATTCCGCAGCACAATGCCCCTCTTTGCCGCACTTGAAACAGCCGGTGGTTCTTTTGGCGGTTGGCTGCTGCTTCGTGATTTCGCGGGATGGCTCTGATGGTGATTTTCCCCATGGTCTCCCTCTGCGCTGTCTTTTGGCCAGGTCAATCTCAGCTTCCTCGGCTAGGATGTACCAATCTTGTAGCCGGTGAGGGTCTCCTCAGGGAAGGCAGGCATTGTAGAGATTGTAGTTCAGACTGTCTTTGAAATGGTTGGGCAGGATGTCCTCAGGCCAGTTTAGTTTGCTAACCAGGGTTCAAAACTCCTGGGTATACTTGGCCACCGGTCGTCTGCCCTGCTTCACCATTTTTATACTTTCGCGGACTTTTTGGTCTGCCAATGGGTCTTTGAACTGTGCCTGAGGGAGAACATGAATTGATTGAAGTTCAATAGTTCTGGTGTGTCAGCGTCATAGAAGTCCATGACCCAGTCTGCTGCAATGCCATCCAGGGTGGCTTGCACGATTTGGATTCTGGCACGATCAGTGGGGATGTCTCGACCATACTCCTCCATATAGTTTAAGACTTGGGTTAGGAAGAACCCCAGGCATCGTGGCTCGCCCCGGAACTTCACATCGAGTGGTGTGAACTTTTGAATGAAGTGCTTCTTCTTCTTTTGTTTGTGGCATCTCCCCTCTCGATGCACAGCATCTGCTCACTGGGGGATAGGGTCAGCGGTGGTGACTGCAGCTGGTTCAGTTGCCTCGCTGGACAGTCCTGGGGCTTCAGCCTCAGACTCACCCTCGGTGTCCTTTCTGCAACCCAAACGCATAGTTCCAGTGTAGGGTTCGGGTTTCTTCTCCTTCAGAGAGTCTAGTGCTATCTTCATCATGCCGATCACCTGCTCCAGCAACCAGCTCGAATGCCCCGGGTGGTCTTCCTCATCCTCGCTGAGGTGGAGGGACCTTTCCATCTTCTCCTTCCAGCCTGGTTGGTGGCTGCCTCATTGAAGTGTCACCTTCCTCACCTTTTTCTCCCAGTCGTCCTTCTTCCCAACAACCATAGACCACCGAGGTTTGTGGCTGCGCATCTCCACTACCTCTTCTTCCAATGAGTAGGAAGACTCAGAGCTGGACAGCTTGCAGGGTTCCGGCTGGCAGGTGTGCTCCCCCTTTGTGGTGGATTCTTCCTTCTCTGCTCCGTTGTCTGACACGGTCTTGCGAAGTCACCCGGTAAGGGCTTTCCTTCCGGGCTGACTATTACTGCAGATCCTGTCTAATGTCAGGGCCCACTTCAATACCTCATCCCAAAAAAGTAGAACTCGTGGAAGCAGTTTCTTCCAAAAGGAGCTTTTATTAAGAGAAGCTGATAGTAGGCATAATAGACAGGATCTGAGGGTTTCCCGCCAGATCGATAGGTAAAAAGTATCCCAAGCATAACCCCACCCCATAGTTCATCTGGTCAGTTCAAACAGACCAATTCCAAGGTGTTAAGTTTGTTGTGGGAAAAAGGAGATAACATCAGGTCATCTCCAGGCTGCAGTAATGTTTAGGTGGCTCTTCGTATCTTCCCTTGCGAACGCGGAGAAAACGCAGTTGCCGGAGGTACATTCCATTCTCCTCCCCCCTTTACTAGCTGACAACAAGGGAGAGAAAGTTTACAGAGGAAAGAAAGCAGAAACAGCAAAGAGTTACATTGTAGCAATAGAGGAAAAACAAGGCAATAAACCCCAAGCGCTTCCCCCCCTCCCCTCCAAGAGTATGGCAGAACCTAGGGAGAGAAGAGAAAGCAATTTGAGTTTAGAAGAAAAAGAAAAGGCCCTTTAAAACATGGGTTCTGACAGGAAGGTTGTTTGGTTGTTTGTCAGGTATCTTCTATTCACTTATCTGGGAATAAGCCCCACTTAGTTTAAACTTGAGTAATCTAGGAATAGGCTAAGTTTATTTGTTGTAACAGCAAATACTGCTGAGAACTGTAACAGATGTAAGAATGTCTTCCTATACTCATTGTGACTTACTAAAAATAATTAGTCACCCAGGATAAATAAAAAATACTAAAGGGATTTTATTATGTTTATGATTTTATTATGCTTAAGCTTGATATTAATAATGATATTTTTGTAATCATTTTATATATAACTTTGTTTATTTGCAAGCAGCTTTGTAGGTGCCTTTGTAGGGAAATTATTTATATAAAAGCTAATGTCTCATGCTCTATATACAGGAGATTGCTTACATGAAAAAAGCTCGGTAAGGGGAGAGGGAAAAGGAATTACGGATGGAGGCTGGGTTGCTGTGTATGAGTCATCTTGGAATTTTTTTGTGTGCTATCTTATGCCTGGTACAAAGACTGATCTTTTTATTCATAAAAGGTATAAAAGATGGAAGACATCTTTCCTGGTTGTTGCCTCCATCCCTCTACCAGCCACGAAGAGGGATGGGGTCACCCAACTAGTGTTTTGATCAAAATAAAAGTTGTTTGCTTGCTGAAACCTCGGCTCAGGAGTTTCTTTGGCTCTTTTAAATTCCTGAGTAATACTGGGACAATTGTGAGGCTAAGTGGAAAACCTTACAACCTGGCACCCGACATGGTGGAGGCCACAAAGACTCTCCCCCCATATCTGGAGACCCCTGTTAAAGTCCCGGCGAGCCTTCAATTCTCGGCAGGATGAAACCGACAGCAACTGAAGCGTGAGTCTTAGAGTACTCCTAGGTGTTTGACCTGGAAGACTTCTGTGCTTCATCAGCAGCGATAGGATACATGTCCGAGGAACCTGAAAGCCCGAATTCAACGAGGTTTCATGCTTCTCCACTGATGGGAGAAATTGCAACTGGAGCCTTGGTGAGTGAAAAAAGCTTTGGTAATTCTGGAATAAGGCAGGAGGTTGATCTCTCCGACTAGCCCTCTACAGATAAGAAATAAAAATGAATAAATGTAAGAAAAGAGGGAGCCGAGCAACTGTCTTCTAATACAGGATTGAGTGATTTAAAGAAAGTAATTAAATTGGAATGTATTTTTTTTTTGCAGAGGTTTTGGTAATTTTGGAATAAGATAGGAGGTTGATCTCTCCAACTAGTCCTCCAAACAAAAAATTAAAAAAATTCTAAATTCATTACTTGAAAAGGGAGAAAGCCAAGAAACTATCTTGAAATGAAAAAAAAAGGGGGGGGAATCATCAGAGAAATTTAAAGAAACAAATTAAATCAAAATGTACTCCTCTGCAATGTGTTTTGAACAATTGGGATGTCTTGAAACCTCAAGTGGCTGTTAAGTTTAGATCCACTATATCCGGTCTAACTTTTGCTGCCACTCCTATCTATAACGATAAACCAGCTAAAGCAATGATTTTAAGACCTTTACCTTCTGACTATGCTTCCCTCTTCAAGAGTCCCTAACCCTATTCAGCTTTTATATTAAAAAGGGAGGATTGAAGGGATTTTATTATGCTTATGATTTTATTATGCTTAAGCTTGATATTAGTAGTGATATTTTGTAATAATTTTATATATAACTTTGTTTATTTGCAAGCAGCTTTGTAGGTGCCTTTGTAGGAAAATTATTTACATAAAAGCTAATGTCTCATGCTCTATATACAGGAGATTGCTCACATGAAAAGAACTCGGTAAGAGGAAGGGGAAAAGGAGTTGCGGATGGAGCCTGGGTTGCTGTGTATGAGTCATCATCTTGGAATTTTTTTGTGTGCTATCTTATGCCTGGTACAAAGACTGATCTTTTTATTCATAAAAGGTATAAAAGATGGAAGACATCTTTCCTGGTTGTTGCCTCCATCCCTCTACCAGCCATGAAGAGGGATGGGGTCACCCAACTAGTGTTTTGATCAAAATAAAAGTTGTTTGCTTGCTGAAACCTCGACTTAGGAGTTTCTTTGACTCTTTTAAATTCCTGAGTAATACTGGGACAATTATGAGGCTAAGTGGAAAAACTTACAATACAATGTGTTAATATCTCTCTTAGCCTGATAAAATTATATAAAAAATTAGCAGTAGTAAAAAACTGAAAATGAAAATGCTTAAATATATTAGATGTTAGAATACAGATGACAAGCAAGAACAACACTTTTCTTCTAAGTTGCTAAGGATGTCTGTTAGTAAGCCACTGGAAGTCTTGATAACATTTTTGGATCGTGATAAAAGTTAAAAATTGCCCTTCAAGTATTTGAGAATTCTTGACCAAACAGCTTAGAATTAAACTTTCTAAAGTTCTTTCCTATGGCTATTATCTATAAAATGGCAAACATTTCTGAAGCTGCAAGACAATTTTTAATGTGAAAAAGAATATGCTACTACATTTAAAAAAAAACCCCAATTATGTTTGTATAATATATACATATATTATTTATCTTCATTATTTCCAATGAAAGAATTAAATTAATTAGAAATCCCTTTGGAAGCATAAAGCATAATGGTAGGCTTAATGGTAACTGTAACAATTATAATAAAGTGCCAGTTGTTTTACATATCATCGTTTTTTAGACCCACTGTTACCACTTGTAGGCTTATTAAAGCTCCTACTCATTTGTGGAAAGTGTACAGTTGGGGTTCTTTCATTTGGGCCATACAATCCTAGATTTCTGGCTGCAGCTGATTTTCTGAGTGGCTTGACACTAGGGAAAGGACAAAAGACTTGTGGCCTAGGCGTGCAGGATTTTGTCACTATTCCACTGTCATTGGCTAAACTTGGCAATTCATAACTGTGTGTTTTGTCTTCAGTACCATCTCTACTATTCTGTGTAAGTTCCAAGGTTTCCAACTTCTGCTGGACTACTGATACGTTGGCATTGGAATTGATATTTTTATAAGTTGGTTCAGGAGATTGTCCATCTGTTGAAAGGTTCCCATCACCTTCCACGGTTTTAGATTTATTTGGAGTTTCTTCTTTTGTATTAATACTACTAGCTTTCCCACATTCACTATGCTCCTCTATTAGTCCTATTGTATCTCCGTAGCCCAGATGGCCTTTGGCTCGCTCTATGTTCTTTCGGTGTACCCTCATGTGAGTGCGCCATGGAGAGTTTAGCTTTGCTTTAATATCTTCATGCGGATCTGGTAACATCTTTCCCCCAGTGTGGCTTGGAACATTGTTTTTGGCAGACTTGCTGGTTTGTTTGATCTTTTTCCCCAGCAGAAGATGGTTGATTACTGAAGAATGATTTACCTGAGAAGGCATAAGACTGGTAACTGGACCTTTATCTGAAATAAAAATAAATGTATTTTAAAGTATATTGTTGAAAGAGATATGGCAAATAGAAAATACATTTTCTGATTGTACTGTAGGCACAAAAGCAAAGACTTGTAGGATTTGAAGCAGAGGAATGTTCATTTCGCTTATATTCTACAGCATTTTTTTTAAACCAAACCTAAGGCGTCTATCTTGCCCAACAAGTAAACATTGCATTATGTTTGCTGCAGTTTTATTCACTGATAAACAAAATGGCTGTAAAAAATACAAAATACTATATCCAGAGTACAAAATAGTGAAAGTAACATTTCTAAAAATTAAAGGTGTTGTATATAGGAAGCAGCCTTAGAACAATTAGTTTCTCTCTCCCTCTCATTTGCAATAACTAGGAGTGACTCTTCAGAATTTTCTCTCTCCTACCAGAAAATGCCATTTTCTTAGGCACTGCTACTAACTACGAATCAGATTTATTAATTACTGTATAATAATTTTTCCCTGTCACCTATCCCAAAGTAATGCCACATAAAAATACATTTTTGCTAGATATTAATGTGAAATCTAATATAAATGCTCTAATAATTAGACTGTGAATTAAATTAGTTTTTAGTGAATGAATAAACATCACAATAATAATTTAAGTAATTATGATTCCATTCCCACTTTGATTAACTAAATCAGTGATGGCGAACCTTTTAGAGACCGAGTGCCCAAACTGCAACCCAAAACCCACATGCGTTGTTGGGTGCTGGGTGGGTGTGGCCCACTGGGTGGGTGTGGCCAATTGGGTGGGTATGGCCCATTGGCTGGGCATGGCTGCGGTGGTAACGGCAGACTAGGTGGGACTAAAAAGTTCAATCAATCAATTCCAACTTTGCAAGATTTTCTTTTCCCGCAAGAAGTTGAAATTGACTGATTGATTGAACCTTTTTTTTTTTTGCACATGGCGGTGGAGGCCTAAAGCGAAAAGGTTTTATAAAACCCAGCTGAAGACCTAGGACTGGGGCAATGGCGCACGTGCCTACAGAGAGGGCTCTGAGTGCCGCCTCTGGCACCCGTGCCATAGGTTTGCCACCACTGAACTAAATCATGCCAACAGGATGCTAGATATCTTTAACTCATATTTATAAAGCACATAATCAAAAAGCCATGTCATACCTGATCTTACGCAATTAAGGTTGATTAATTTAATATGGTATTCTCAATGTACATCAAAATGTCAAAAATAATCAACATGTAGCTAAACTATATAATTGGAAAAGATTAGTAAAAGGAAGATTTGGCAATCTTGGAAAATGAAATTTTTATTTTGTTTTGACAACGTAATTATATTGCATTTCTCAAAATTTTTGAAAAGATACTGCCCTGTAACATGCAGACCAACTATTCTGTACATCCATCCTTGCAGGTGGAGAGGAGGCCACAATGCAAGATACAGTATGCAAACACTTTCATTATTATACCAGTGCAGGAGGGTAAGTGAAAATGCAGGCCTCCATCGTTAATCCCATAGATAGTATGACCATTAACAATTTTGATTTATTCTACACGAAGCAGCATAGCCTGTGAAATAAACATTTTTACCTATATATAAACTTACAGGATTTAGATCAAAATTCTTTATACACTTAATCAACTTAATCGTGTAATACTTCAGTAGTTCAGGCTGCTGCTTAGTACCTAGTTAGGTGTTTAGATATTTGTATTCCAAATCCAAGGATGCCAGAAATGTTAGTGAAATCAATACTTAAGACCCCTGGAGCCCAAGTAGCACAGATATCTTTAAATACCATTATTCAGCTGGTCCCTGGGATCTAAAACTATCCCAAGGTCATCATCTTCATACCCTAACAAAAGAAAAACAAAGATTATAAACTCTTTTATAAGTAGCTTTTCATCATCAGATGAGATTATTTCAGTCAAGCTGATAGATCTCATCTTTTTCCCCCTTCTCCTTCTTCTTATACACTATAAACTAAACTGAATACAAATGTGATTTGCTTCTTAATACAAATAGAACTTGAACTAATAATTCCTTCCAATTATTAATTACCTGCTGTGATGTACACATGATGAACCTGCTGTTGCTGCTTCCTTTTTATACGAGAATACTGTCTTTTCAATGCATTGATGTCAGTGGTCATACGTTCCATCATCATACTATTAAAAGCTGCATGATATTCATTTCGGCAAGCATTTATTGCACCAGGACTTAATTCTGCAATGTTACTCGAGCCTGAACTCTGCTCTTGATTATAGTCTGGGAAAAACATTAGAAATATATCAGCCAGGTCACAATGATACAGTTGAAGCTACCCCTGATATTTCCACTTAATTGAATTAGAAAACTTATAAGTCCTACATACAGAAGCTATCCAGAATCAAAAACTGTATATACATTGAGAAATTACTGCTTTATTAGTGATAAATACTTGGCTGAGAGTTACAGGTTATTTTAAAATGTAGTGTACAGTAAGCCATGGAAATCAAGAGGGATAAGAACAATACTGATAAAAAAACCCAATTCCTTAATGAACTCATAAGATCCAATCATCGTATCATATGAATGTAAGTGGGAACTTCTCAACTGAAGATATGAATGTAGGTGGGGACTTCTCAACTGAAGATCCATTTCTCTATTTAAAATATTATGATGTTTCCCCCAAAATAAGACCCGGTCTTATATTTATTTTTGGTCCAAAAGACTCATTAGAGCTTATTTTCAAGGGATGTCTTATGGGAGGCAGCGAGGGCACGGGAGGCAAAGGTGTCCAGCAGCAGCTGCAGCCCACTGGCCCCTTGGCCGGTGCACTCCGGGGTTGCAAAGCCCATGCAGTGCAGGCGAGTGGGAGCACTGCTACTGCCAGGTCGGCCCCTGCTGGATGTGCTGCACAGCCACCCGCCCACTCCATCCACCGTCTGTTTGTTCGTGGCTGCAACGGCTTACAGTGCTTCTCAGGGCAGATGCTCGGGAGGTAAGGGCAGTGCCGCTGAATGTGTCTTCAGGTGAGAAGGAGAGCTGCACAGACAGGCGGGGGCAGCCCAAGGACTGGGTGGTGCATGTCTCCCCTGCCGCCTCCCTCCACCTGGCAGACACCCGCCAAAGTTGTGCAGAGCGGGGGAAGTGTGCGCCACCTGGTCCTTTGATTCCCCAGCCTGTCTGCGCCATTCTCCTCACCTGAAGATGCGTTCCACCAGCACTGTCCTCGCCTCCCAAGCATCTACCCTGGGAAGTCCTGTAAGCCCGGTGGCTGTGGGCAAGCAGATGGTGGAACAGTGGGCGGGTAGTTAACTAGGGCTTATTTTTCGAGTAGGGCTTATATTAGCATAAAAATCATGCTAGGGCTTATTTTCAGGTTGGGTCTTATTTTCAGGAAAACATGGTATTTTCAGTGTCTGTAAACTATGATGGTTAGGCTGGCATCATAATGTCACCTGCAGGGCTATGATTTGTATTTTTGTACTCTTTGGGGAGGGGCAATGACTTTCAGTGAATTTACAAACAAAAACTTCATTATATCCAAAAGTAATGTGATATTTATGCATATCAATAGAAATGCAGGCATGGGCAGAGACCTTGCTTCAGTTTTTGGATGTTTTCCTGCCAAGTTCCAATAGTGCAATGGCAAAGGATCTAGGATATGCAAAAAGTAGGGTTCAGGGGCCACATTTTGATTTCTATATTGTCTAACCTTGCCATAGAAGTTAATGTACTACACACCCTGGACACACCACATCACTGTCTTAAAGACCACACAACTGTAGTGACTTTTTATTTGCATATTTTATTATCATCTTAGATTCGGCTGGGAATAAGAATTAAAATTTCATGTTTGAGGAAATGAAATTAGCCTCAGCAGCAAAGCCTTGTATACCAGTTGAATCCCCGATAAAATTATTGAAATTTCAGAAATTAATGTTTACCTTTGAAATGCTTTTGATAGTTCTGTAGTTCTGGAGCCAAAAATCCACTAAATGATCCAAGACATCCAATAACATTTGCTATAGAGTCTTCATCACCTATTTCATTCTCTTCATCACTGTCTTTTATTTTTCCCAGTCGGCTAAAAAACCAGAGCATACAGATATGACTTTCTTGGATGATGAGGTGTAAGGCATAATAATGTGAGCGATTCCTCAAGCTGTTTCTTTCTTTACTTACACCCCAAATAGTCAGAAGATGCCTTACCTTGCAGTTGATTTTACCGTAGGAGGAAATGGTGTAATGTTATATGTATATTTCTCCCTTAATTCAGATAGCTGAGGGAAGGGGAACTGGGCCATAGAATAAACCATCTATGAAAAAAGAGAGGAAAGAAACCAAAGAAAAGAATACTTTTAGGACACTTTTCATGCAAATTCAAATACAAGATAATCCTCCTACATTTGCAAGATTAGACATTGCCTTTTCCACATTTACAAAAGCAAATATAAAAAGCTTGATTATTACTAATGCAACAAACATTGCTTTCAGGAACTACAAAGAATAATCCACAAGAAATATAACCAGTCAAGTCCTGGAGATAACAAAAGTGTTAGGGTGAAAATAATGAAAATGCTGTGAATGCATGTATTTCTTGCATTCAAAGGAATTTGTATGCAGAGCAAACTATGCATATGTATATACAACTACTTATTTTATACCTTAATGCATTTATCCTCAATGCCTTAGAAGTCTTAACTATATGATTTCAATTTTAAAGAAACAATCTGTATCAATAGAAACAGGTATACTTGTAGAAAAATATCTATTATAAAGAAACTCTCTCTTTTATGAATTTCTCAATATCACAACACTAACAAATATGATATGCCTCCTATTAGCTGGAAGCCTATATCAGTCAAGGATTGATTAGAATATTGTATTAAGATGATGGAAATCCACATTTAAATTCCCATTAAATCACTAGACTCATTAAGTTACTTTGTGCTAATATTTGTGCTAATGGTTTAGGCTTGTTCAGTGGAATTTTATAGTGCATTATATTATAATAAAAACACAAACCCTGACATGTCAAGTTGATTTCTCATTTTTTCAGTACTTCCACTGTTACTCATCCAATAAATAATCAAAACTACCAAGATTTCATTAAGGCTGATATAAGACAGTAATATTAATAAAAGTTGAAAACTTGAAAATGCTTGTAATACATACTTAGGACTGAAACACATTATAGAGCAGTTTTGGAATTTATAAGCCTGGTTAATAAAGTCTTCATAGGGTAGAGGGAGCAAAATATCTTTAGATTTACAGTATTTTTTCAAAAACTCATTTTAGTCCTTTATTTTGGCCAGGTAATTTTTCATGCACAATCTTTCACATTCATGTGAAAAATATGGAAATTGAATTGTCTTTATAAAATAAATGTATATATACTGCTTTATTTTAGATATTTTTATTAGAATATACTGAATCCTTAATCTCGACTATTGTTCTAAATATAAGCCTCTGCAAACTGAAATTATGGACTAATAGATGTTGCAATTTTAAGAAATGAATAAAAGGCATATAGTAAATAACGGCAGATGAAATTTTGAAAGCAATAATATGGGGAAAATTTCTAGATTACATTACATTTTAAAATAAATAAGATATTGATTGAACACATTTGGCTTAATATGCAAATCTGTTAGACCTCAAACTGTATATCTTGCATGAAAACTGAGAAAAATCCCACATTGTACTGATAGTGACGGGCTAGCAATTCAGCAGCACAAAATCACCAAATGTGTAAACAACTCCTCCCCCGTGCACTGCAAGCCTAAATTCTGCCTTTCCACATTAGTTTGATCATCTCTTCATTATTATTGTACCACTTCCTTTCCTGAGGAGAGGGAGGAGGAAGTGTGAGAGAATCTGAAAATTATTTATTTCAATAGCAACCTTTTTCTTAGTCTGTCCATAAATGAAACAGTGATCATATCATTTCATTAGTGTTGTTGATCTCCAGACAGTGAATGGATTTTTAAATCTCTCACACAAACACGCACACATACACACATCTTGTTTTTGTTTCTAACTATAGCAGATTATTCTTCTGAAATGAAGTACATAATTTTCACTTCCTCAGCAATATAATCCAAATAATATAGACTTAGCTGTTGAAAGAAGAGGATAAAGAGTCACTACCTTATCTGAATTAGATTAATTTTGTTCTGACAAATACCAGGGGGCTAAGAAATCTGGACTGCAAACAATACAGATTTGTCTTTTTGATGCTATTCAGTGCATTTTTGAAGCCTGGATTGGTAGCCATAAAAGACTGTACATTGTGATTTTCCACATCAGTCAAAACCACTAAAATTGACTGGAGAGCAATTTAAACTGACATTTGTCACATATTTCTCATTATATAGCAGTGCTTCTCAGTCCTAGTTATGTTACAATTTGTTCCTTAGCCAAATGCATTGCTATACAAACTAACATCTAAAACATTATCAATAATAGACAGAGCTACATGGACAACCATTGTATATGTTTTAAAGCATAATAATATTGTATTATTCATAAGATTTTTTTTTGCTTTGATACACTTGCCAAACCTAGATAGAAAGTAAACAATACCCTAATGAATCCTGTTAGTAATAATAGAATGATATGTTTTGAGAGAGCTGTTAAGAATTTTACTAGACTTTTAATAGTTACTGAACATAGCAAGTTGGAATTCATTTCAATTGTTAGCCCAATTTTCTCACTGACTGATAGACAGCAGTTCTGCTGGGATTGAAGAGATCTTTCTCAGCTTTACTTAGAAAAGTCGGGGATTGAGTCTTTGACTCTGTGACTTAATTAACTTTTAATATTTTTAACAAGATGTATCAAAAGTTGGTTTAAGGCCAATCTAATTTCATATTTTCTTACTAACCTGCATGAGTTCATTGCTATCAATGAGTTTATCTTCCAGCATCTCCTGCGTTAATTTTCCCATGGTGCCATAGAAGTCATCTGCAGTTTCACAAGAATTGATCTGCCTGCATCACAACACAAATATTTCTGTTACTATATATGTTGTAATCCCATATTGTACATTATTTGCTTTATTAAGCTGTTTTTCTTGTTTCCTTAGGACTACATTTAAGGCTACATTTAATGACAGCCTAAACAGATAACTACAAAAATGTTGCTTCTTCAAGGATGGCTTGAGTACCCTGGCCTAGGATAATTACCGGTATCGTAGTAGTGGCAGAGAATAAAGATATGGTGATGTCCAGTTACACAAGGACAGAGAAATTAAGCATTTAACAGTTTTTGTCCCTTCTGGAAGTCTTTATCAGCAATCAATTATTGGAGAGATCAGCCCTTCAAAGAACCTGATCTTTAGTCTCAGTAGTGTCAGGTCAGTCCTATAAAGCAGAGATCATCTATGATTTGACTGAAGGTGAGAAACTACATTGGCCTGTGAAATAGTCACCTATTTAGGGAAGCAAGTATGCTGATATGGGTCACATCTGTTTTGGCTGGATATTCTGAAGCTGAAGGAGTAAAAAATGTGGTGTAGCTGTGATTCTTGAAAACAGTATACCCCTTAACAACTGTGACAAAACTGTATCTTTCAGCATGAGCACCTTGGTTTGGAATTAGGAATAAATCAAAGATTTTGTTAATTTATTGTGTTGCGCTATAGTCTGAAAAAATTCCTAACTGACCAATGGGAATTGTATTTGATGTTTGAAACCCCTGGATTTCAATATCCATTTTAGGTTTTGTCTAGAAAAATTTAGGAATTCATAGCAGCTGTAACAAGGATGCTCTATCCCAGTTGATAACAGGTACGATAAATGATGTAGATTATATATTTTGACATTTTTTTCTAATCAGGGGGATGTTCTATTAGTGGGAAAGCCTCAAGTTTCTCATTTGTCATGGATGGAGCCCCATTGGATTAGTGGTTGTACTTCACTTCTATTGAGGGGCAGTGGACTTATTAAGATGAGCTGCCTGAAACATTTATTGTACTCAGCTAGTTACCAAGTGAAGGATTCTGGAACAAAGGGGAATTGTTTAGTCTAACTGTTGCTTTCTTGCTTTTTGTTATCAGCTTTTGCACCAGAGAAATTTCATGCAAGTGTGGGAAACATGTACATGGATAGGATATACTGAAGGAGGGAATAAGGGAGTGTACAGGAATGATTGATGTCTTTCTTATGACGTAATGGCTCTGTTGTCTGATTTTCATTGGCTAACAAAGTTTATAAAGCAATGCTACCAACTTTCTAAGGCGTGGCACTTCTGGACGTAACTCTGCAGTGTTCCAGATTGTTGGCCACCCAGCTGCTTAATTTGATCAAATAAAGTGCTGCTTGATCAAGAAGTCTCTGCTTGGGTATCTAATTAAATTGATATGGTATCTCAAGTTTAAGGGACTGGGACTTTACATTTCTGGCGAACCGAACAGGGACTTGAAAGTTTTTTTTCTTCAAGGTTGTTTCTCATTGAGACTCCCTGTGAATGAGTTCCGTTGTAACTACAACCTTCAGGCATGATATCCAGGAAAACTGGTGTGCCCAAAAGATAAGGTGAAGACCAAGAAACCCTTTAAGCACAAGACAAGAGAAAACAGGTTAAACAATGGGGAAACAGGCAAGGCAAATGAAAAGGAGGGGCCATGTTTCCAGTGGGCCATGTGTTAGCCCATTGGAAAGCACTGAAATTTGCCTGGAAAAACCATGAAAATGAAATATCTGTATGTGAAACTGTATATGCAAGCAGTTTGAATGGAAGTGAATGTGTGAGTATGCTGAATCTGCAAGTGTGTGTGTGTGAAATGCCTGAAAGGCAGGAATTTAGTTACCTGCAATGTGAGATTGCTGGAAGAAATTGGGAATCATGACAACTGTGTGACTGTTAAGGAAACCCCCCCACCCTGGAGGTTGGGGGAGAGAGAGAGAGTGTGTGTGTGTCATGGTTCTGACAGATGAAACTCTTCAAAGAACTTCGAGGCATTGTTTACCTTAAAGAATCTTTATTCGAGTTGCATAACATCGGCACGTACATAATCCAAGCCAAAATCTGAATTCCCCTCCCCTAAGCACATAGTATCAAAGCACAATTCCCTCCTCTGATTAACAGTCATAAATCACATTCTCCAATTAGTTTGACATGCTGGCTTTCCCTTCAGTTCTTCAACCCGCCATTTCTTATCATCTCTTATTACAAAAAAACCTTGGTTCCCACCCTTATACAGTATTGCTATGTCTAACTAAACTTCCATGTACATTCCCCCCCCCCAGTTACATCTAATTCTAACTCTAAGAGTAAAACATAAAGTAAAGGAAAACGGCTGCATCTCCATATGTTGTCAAAGCAAGAACATTCGATGTTAGCAGCATTGACATCCAGCCCCCCTTATAGAAAGGACAGATCCTGTAATGTAAACAAAAGCATATGTTAGGGACTGTCTCTCGGTTTGTTAGGGTGTTTCCTATAGAACCTTTTGATGAGTCTGTTGGCTTTCACATCACTAGCTTTCACCCAAGTGACTTCAGACAGTGAGTATCCCTTCCATTGCACTAGGTACTCCTAGGTACCTTTAAAAATTCTAGAATCAAGAATACACTTTATTTCATAGTGAGTCTGACCTGCTACCATGACGGATCCGGGTGCCTTTTTAGGGGGAGGTCTTAAAGTGGAGCCCCTAAAAGGTTTCAACAAGCTGCAATGGAAGACAGGGTGCACTCTTCCTAAAAGCCTAGGGAGTTTTAATTCTACTGTGACCGGTTAATGATCTTTACGATAGGGAAAGACCCCAAGAATTTAGGTCCTAATTTCTTGCTGGGTAATTTGAGGCGTAAATATTTAGTCGACAGATAAACAGCAGGGACAGTGAGTTAATTGATACAGAACATCCCTGTCCCCGGCAATCTAAAAATTATAGAGCTATCAGTTCATGTAACGTAGACATGTGTGTGGACAAGAATCAACCTTGCTGTCAAGCAAAATCAAGCTTTTAATAGCATGTGCCACACAAATTCCACTAACCAAATAGGTGGTAAGAAAATAGGGGAACTCAGGCACCACACAGGTTATGTAGAAAGTAAACACAGGGTCAGTCATAAAGGACTCAAATGTCTATACACCAATGCAGAGTATGAACAGCAAACAGGGTGAAACAGAAATTCAGGTTAATGAGGGCAGATATGATATTGTTGCCATTATGGAAACTTGGTGAGATGAAACCGACAAATGGAACACACAGCTAGAGGGATTTAAATTATTTAAAAGAAACAGACCACATAAAAGAGGAGGTGGAGTTGCTCTCTATATAAGAAATAACTACATCTCTACAGAAATAGAGCACAACAATGATGAAAACTGTCCTGAATGCATTTGGGTCAATATAAAAGGGGGGGGGGAAATGACATTGCCATAGGTGTATATTATAGGCCACCCAACCAAACAGAGGAAATAGATGAACTTTTTGCTAGTCAGCTAACTAAGATATGTAGGAAGCACATCACAATAGTAATGGGGGACTTTAACTACCCTGACATCAACTGGGAGACAAACACTGCACCAAGTGGAAGATCAATCAGATTCCTGACAAACCTAGCAAACAACTTTTTCTCCCAAAAAGTAGAGAAGGGAACTAGGGGATTAGCCATTTTGGATCTAATTCTCACTAACAGAGATGAAATGATAGAAGGTGTTGAAGCCATAGGAACCCTGGGAGGAAGTGATCATGCAATATTGGAATTCAAAATTATGGAAGCACAAGCAATACAACACAGTCAAACTAGAGTCTTGGACTTCAAGAGAGCTAATTTCAATAAACTTAGAGAGGGCTTGGGAAGGATTCCATGGATGAGAATCCTCAAGGGGAAAACAACTCAAGAAGCTTGGGAAATTTTGAAAAGTGAGATAATAAAAGCCCAGTCTAGCACAATACCAACAAAGAAGAAAAATAACAGCTCTCAAAAGAAACCAGCATGGCTGCATAAAGAACTCTCTGATAAATTGAAAGATAAAAAGGACAAGTATAGAAAGTGGAAAGAGGGTCACATAACTAAGGCAGAATATCAGCAAATAGCCCGAGCCTACAAAGATGAAGTGAGGAAAGCTAAGGCTCAAAATGAACTAAGGCTTGCGACCAAAGTAAAAAATAACAAAAAAAACCTTCTTTCCACATGTAAAAAACAAGAAAAAAGTGAAGGAAACGATTGGTCCATTAGTGGGGGAAAGTGGCAAGAAGGTGACAAGCAACAGGGAAAAAACAGAACTATTTAACTCATTTTTTGCATCTGTCTTTACACAAAGGGAAAAAACAGTCCAACCTATCAAAAATAGTGCCATAAAAAACAGAATAGAAACACAAGTTAAGATAGGCAAGAAAATGGTAAGTGAGCACCTGTCCAGCCTAGGTGAGTTCAAATCACCAGGACCAAATGGATTATACCCCAAGGTTCTTAAGGAACTGGCAGATGTGATCTCAGAACCACTGAATTATATTTTTCAAAGATCCTGGAGCACTGGGGAACTACCAGTGGACTGGAAAAGAGCTAATATAGTTCCCATCTTCAAAAAAGGAAAAAAAAATGGATCCAGGAAATTACAGACCTATCAGCCTGACCTCAATACCTGGGAACATTCTGGAAAAGATAATCAAACAACGAATCAGCGAACACCTAGAGGCAAACAAAGCCAACATGGGTTTGTCAAAAACAGATCATGCCAGACAAATCTTATTGCATTCTTTGACCAAATGACAAAATTAGTGGATCAGAGGAATGCTGTGGATATAATTTACTTGGACTTCAGTAAGGCATTTGATAAAGTAGATCACAACCTACTACTTGATAAGATAGAAAAATGTGGGTTAGACAGCATCAGCACCAGATGGATTCATAGCCGGCTGACCGGCCGTACTCAGCGTGTGGTCCTCAATGGAACCCGCATCTACATGGAGGGAACTGTGTAGTGGTTTGCCCCAGGGCTCTGTTCTGGGCCCAGTGCTCTTCAACATCTTCATCAACGA